TCCAGACTCAGCCCTGGAAGAGAGTCCCCGTGACAGGTTTGCACCCGGACGTCTGAGCTGGTCCTCTCCCGTCAAGGCCCCATCCACTCAAGCTGCCCACCCCCGAGATTTCTCACCAACGGGGGCTGTGAGCTGCTGTGTCCCCTCCCCTGTCCCTCCCCACGTCCACAACTGACCGAGGCAGAGAAGGGCACAGAGGGCGGCCATCGTGGCGTCTGCTCTGAGCCTCCTGCTCCGCAGATGGACCAGGCCCTGGGCCTGGAGGACAGAGTCGCACAGGATGTGGCGGGTCAGGGGCCGCCGCCCTTCCGCTTTCGCAGCTGGGGACCCACAGCCAGGGGACGGCCCCTCCTGGGCCCGGTCTGGGCTTCCCCAGGCGAGGGCTCCTGGCCCCAGAGGACCAGCCGTGGCCTCTCCCCTCAGGAGCCTCTCGTGTGTTCCCCGGGCTCTGCCCGTGGTCTGAGCCGTGGGTCCTGTGACGGCAGCTTTGCATTTACCCTGCTCGTCTGGTCGGTGCTGTGCGTCCATCGGAAACACTCCCAGCGAAGATGCGACAGCGGAGCTCTTGGCGGTTTACCCTTCAGTCGGGAAAGTGAAGCTCAGAAAGGCAGCTGCCTTTTCACCCAGCGACCCCAGCTTGGGGACACATCCTAAGACCCCCGAGACACCCTCGGAGAGCAGAAACGCACNACCCCAAGACACCCCTCAGAAGAATTCATGCAGCCCTGTGTTCATAGTAGCGCAGTTAACAACAGCTAAGATCTGGAAAGAGCCCGAGTGCCCATCTGCAGATGAGTGGGTCAAACAGCTGTGGGACCGTCGGCCCGTGGAATACTACGCAGCTGTGAAAAGGAAGGATGCCTTACCCTCTGAGGCAGCATGGAGGGACCTGGAGAGGGTTACGCTGAGCGAAATAAGCCAGGCAGAGAAAGACAAACAGCACATGATCTCACTCATATGTGGAATCCAATGAACAAAATAAAGTGATGAACAAAGTAGGTCCAGAGCCCTGGATGCATGGAACAGACTGATAAGAGTCAGAGGAGACAGGGGTGGGGTGGGGAGGGCTGAGATGAAGCGAAGAACTTATATGCATAAATGCACAGCCCATGGACACAGACAATAGTGCGGGGAAGGCTTGGGGGAGGGGGGTAATGGGTGGCGGGTGTCAAGGGTTGAAAATGAGAGACTTTTGTAACACTGTCATGAACGTAGGGGGCCAGATATTCTTCCATATTAGTGCTTCAGGTTTCTTAGGATATATTCCCAGAAGTGGAACCACTGGGTCATAAGGCAGCTCCATTTTTAATTCTTTGAGAACAGTCTATCGTGCTTCCTCGGCGGCCGCACCAGGCCGCGTTCCCCCAGCAGTGCACGGGGGCTCCCTTTTCTCCACGGCCTCGCCCGCACTTGCTGTCTGTGGGTTTATTGATGGAGCCATTCTGACAGGTGCGAGGTGATGTCTCATTGCGGTGTTTATTTGCATCTCTCTGAGGATTTGTGACACTGAGAATCTACAGTGGAGTAAAGACAGTCTCTTCAATAAACGGTGCTGGGAAAATTGGACACTTAGATGCAAAAATAAATAAAACTGGACCAACAACTTACAGCATGCACAAGGTTCATCTCCAAAAGGGTGAGAGACTGAAATGTAAGTCACAAAAGCATAAAAATCCTAAGAGTGTCACTTTTTTTTTCTTAATATTTGCAGTGTTGTTGTTTTTTAAAAAATATATCCTTATTGATTTCAGAGAGAGGAAAGGAGAGAGAGAGAGACAGAAACATCAATGATGAGAGTCATTGATCGAGCCCGCAACCCGGGCCTGTGCCCTGACCGGGAATGGAACCCCGACCGCCTGGATCCCAGGCCGATGCCCAACCGCTGAGCCATGCCCGGCCGGGCTGTTGCTTCTTGTAACCTGAGGGGCACGTGAGGAGCAGAAATTCAGAGACACTAAGTCCATGCTCATCTCCAAGCAGGTGTCCCTTGTTACCTGTACTTCTGAGGCTGCGTAATTTGGGGAACCTGGTGCTTCTGGGGAAGAGGCAGGGGCCGAGCAAACTGGAATGCCGCAGGGTGTGGTGGGCTTGGTCCCCCACCTCACCTGCGCTGTTCCCAAGGTGCCTGTCTCACAAGGACGAGTCTTCTCACCCTGCAAACGGCAGGTGCTGACCTGAGCCACGCCTCTGAGCGCCCGACATGTCTAAGGTATCCTATGCCGTCTCCCTAAGTTGTACAAACGTTTTTTGATATTTATTTCTTATTGAGTTTACTGGGGTGACATTGGTTACTGGAAGTACACGGTTTCGGGCGCACAGTTCTATCGCACATCATCTGCGCATCCTGTTGTGTTCACGGCCCCAAGCCCCGTCTTCCTATCATCGTTTACCCCCGTTCCCTCTTCTCCCTCCCCGCGCCACCCCCTTTCTCCGGCCATCACCCCACTGCTGTGGGTCCAGGAGTCTCTTTCTTTGCTAAACGCCCTCCCAGCCCCCAGCCCCCTCCCCTCTGGCAGCTGTCAGTCTGTCCTCTGCGCCCATGAGTCCGTCTCCACGTTGGTTAGTTCACGTTGTCCATCGGAATCCACATTCCAGCGAGGCCCGCGGGGCTGTCTCGGGGGGAGGCTGCCGGCGGCGCTCCCGCGGCGAGACCCGCAGCGTAAAGAAGGCCCGCGGGGCGGACGCCAGAGAGCAGGGCCTCCAGCCCCGCAGGCCGGCCGCACGTGCGGGGCTCCT